TAGGGCAGGTCGAAGTTGTGGATGTTGTAGCCCGTCACCACGTCGGGGTCCACGATCCGAACAAACTCCGCCCACGACTGGGGAGGGGGAGGGGCCTCAGACTCACCTGGGACCCCTCCCCAGCGCCCCCAAAATTCCCAAAAAACCCAAAATCCACATTTTTTACACCAAAATCCCTGGATTTTACCCCAAAATCTCCATTTTTTTACACCAAAATCCTGATTTTTTCCCAAAAATCCAGATATTTTTTCCCCAAAATCCCTGGTTTTTTGTATCCTAAAATCCCCATTTTTACAAAAAAATCTGATTTTTTTACCCCAAAATCCCCATTTTGTATGCCAAAATCCCCATTTTTTAACCCAAAATCCTCATTTTTACGACCAAAATCCCCATTTTTACCCCAAAACCTTTAGGGTTATTATCCCCATATCCCCATTTTTTACCCCAAAATCCCTGGGGCTTTTACCCCAAAATCCCCATTTTTTACCCAAAAATCCAAGTTTTTCACCCAAAAATCCAAGTTTTTCACCCCAAAATCCCCATTTTTTACCCAAAATTCCCATTTTTCACCCCAAAATCCCACCTGCAGCAGGTCCTTTTCGCTGTCGAAGCTCCTGACGGTGGCTCCAAAACCCCAAACCTCCCCAAAACCACCCTAAATCCCCCCAAAACTCACCTGGGACCCCTCCCAGACACCCCAAATTCCCAAAAAACCCCAAAATCGGGGTTTTTCACCCCAAAACGCCCACCTGCAGCAGGTCCCTCTTGCTGTCGAAGCTCCTGATGGTGGCACCCCTGAGACCCCCAAAACCTCCCCAAAACCTCCCCAAACCTCCCCAAAACCCCCAAAATCGGGGTTTTTCACCCCAAAACGCCCACCTGCAGCAGGTCCTTCTCGCTGTCGAAGCTCCTGACGGTGGCTCCAAAACCTCCCCAAAATCTCCCCAAAACAACCCCAAACCTCCCCAAAACCAGCCTAAATCCCCCCAAAACTCACCTGGAACCCCTCCCCAGACCCTCCCAGACCCCTCAAGTTCCCAAAAAACCCCAAAATCCCCGTTAACTTGCCCAAAATTGACCTAAAACCCCCAAAACAGAGATCAAGACCCCAAAATTCAGATCTGTGACCCCAAAAATGACACTAAAAACTTCCAATATGCCCCAATCCACTGAAATTGGCTCCCTGCAGCAGCCCCTGCCGCAGCCCCACGGCCGCGATGGCGATCACCGGGTTGCTGTCGAAGCTCCTGACGGTGGCTCCCCGCAGGGGGGCGCAGCTGAGCAGGGTGAACACCACCCTGAGGAACGGCTCGCGCGCGCCCTGCCGCAGCGCCACGGCCGCGATGGCGATCACCGGGTCCTGCTGCGGCTCCGGGAACACCCCTGCAACCCCAAAAAACCAAAAATTCAACCCAAAATCGGCTCCGGCACCCAAAAAACCCCAAAAACTGCCCTGAAAACCCAAAAAAATGCCCCAAAATCGACGAAAATTCTTCTCTGCAGCGACACCTGGTGGCCAAAATGTGCAACTGCAGCTCGAAAGACACAGCCCAAAATTGACCTGAACTTGGCCAAAATTGACCTAAAACCCCCAAAAACTGAGTCCAAGACCCCAAAAACTGAGTCCAAGACCCCAAAAAACCCCAAAAACCGGTCCCAAAAACCCCCAAAAATGCCCCAAAAACTGTCAAAAACTCTTCTCTGCAGCGACACCTGGTGGCCAAAATATGCAACTGCAGCTCAAAAGACACAGCCCAAAATTGACCTGAACTCACCCAAAATTTGATTGCAGCTCAAAAAACAGAACCCAAAATTGACCCGAACTTG